CTTTGTTCATACATACTGGTGCCCCGCCAGCGTACGATAGCGCAGGCGGGTACATTATAACGTAGGCATCCGCTAAGAAAGGATTTTGATAAACTCCACCCCTAAGTTGATAAAATAGGAAATAAAAGTACTGTAAAGCCGTAAAAACTATACCTAATAATAATAATACTTCTTTCTTACTTGGGTCTAGATGGCGCTGTGTGAATTGTCCTGAGATTATTATTATTATGTATTATATTAAGATTTGCGTTCGGAACTAAATGTAGAGTGTCGGTCCACCTGCCGTTCTGTGCTCTCTTACATCTTGGATAAAGTTCTTTTGAGCCAAAAGAAGAAGGTCATCTATTGGAAAGTATTGAGACATACTTTCCAAGAACAATCACTGTATCCATGCTGATTGTTTAACTACAAGTGTTTGTACCCGTAACAAGTGAATAAATTGTTTGTTAACAACATTAACATTTTGTTATCATTACATAGTATAAAACAAAGTCGCTGTCGCTGTCTGTCCGTCCCTATGTATGCTTAAAACTTTAAATCGGTTTTTTTTAATAGATAGAGTAATTCAAACGGAAGGTTTATATGTATAATATATATACACCAGGGCGAAGCCGGGGCGAGTAGCTATTTTATTATTAAAATTTGATTATTTCTCAAGTAACAACAAAGTTTTATGAAATTTATTCAGTGTATCTGTCCTTCAATCAATCGCCTCTAGTCACTCAGTTCACCTTCAGTCGAAATACAGCATATAAATCAAGCAGCTTGGTTGCCAAAATAGGTGAGACAGAGGTACCTCTGTATCCGAGAAAACGACTTTGTGTAAAGTCTACCTCGGTTAAACTTACCAAAGCTGAAGCAAATAAATAACTCTTTGTTGTATTTGTGAGTTTCAACCAATGCCTTAGTGATACATAACTTAATATATACAGAAACTAATCCAACCCTTCAATTACACCCATGTCAATATTGGGGCTTAATTCAGAAGCGGAAGCATAGAAATAAAGTATATATGTAACCCAAAAAACCAAAGGAAATATTTTCATCGTTTTAGCTTCATCAAACATTCATCCTTTATTTTATTTTTTATAAGCTTAATGTTATATTTAATTAAAATTTAAACATCTAGCTTTAAAAATAACGATACTTCCATAGATCCATTTATCTCCCTTTTAAATCCATTACAACCATTTTTTTCGCATTAATGAGTACTTCATAACCTTTCTCAGGGTCTAGACTATCTGTGTACCAAATTTCATTTAAATCGGCTGAGTAGTTTTGACGTGAAAGCGCAACAGACAGACACATGGACAGAGTTACTTTCACAGATTTCATACATTTCTTCAATGTATAATATTAGTAAGGCACTTAGAATTATTTTTTTATTGTCGTTTGATTATTATTAGATGATTATATGTAGCAGTAGCGGACATATCTAGTACATGACTAAATCGCTATATGTTTACTCCGCTCATATCATGAACCAACACGCTCCTCTCATAAACTTGCACCAGCCGACATCTGATTGTAATTTATAGCCCGCCATCACCAGATAGGGTTAACCGTAATATTGTTTCTATAGGAATTTCCATTATTTGGTCGAACCGCTTGGATGCGAAATCATTTGTATAAACCTTGGATATCTCAACTGGCTTCCATAGAGAAGTTCATCATTCTGTTGTACATTTAAGATGATCACCGTTGGAGACGTGGTGCCTTATGGTTTTAATGATTCTATTATTACGGACTCGGTGGTAGGGGTTAAGCATATCGCTTTACTTCCGATGGTTGCAGGTTTGGATAAAGAGACTTGTGACCCGTGGGCTACGTACCGTAGTGAAAATGACGTCATCTATCAATAATGCGATTATACTGACGCCATTTGACGCTGTCAACTAGCATTGCAACGTAAACGCAAAAAATATTTCTATCGAATGTCGATTTAGTAACCTCGTTGCAATGTCACGGAATCGCTATTTTGCCGAAATGACAGCGTGGAATTAAAACAATAAAAAGCAGGGACAATTTAGAACAAAAAAAAGTAATTCGAAATATAAAGCTTATAAAATAGATCATAGACTAAATAAGTGGTCTGTATTTCACAACTACTAGGCAATTTTTTGTTAATTAGTTTATTGGTTATATTTATAGTATTATATAATACCTATATATAGTCTAAATGCAACGTTTTGATGCCCTCGGTGATCTAGCGGTCAAGCACAGAGCTTTACGACCGATGGTCGCGGGTTCGATTCCTCGCACGGCACAAACATTTGTATTCATAAGTATGATTGTTTGTATCGGTCTGGGTGTTTTCTATGTATAATATGTATGTATTTACAAAAAAAAAAAATCTATGCATATGTATCAGCTAGCTAGAGCTTGTGTTATGGGTACTACCCATAACACAAGCTCTAGCTAGCCTAACTTGAGTCTAGATTGCTCTGTGTGAATTGTCCTGAGATTATTATTATTATTAACGTCTCTGGAGATTAAACTGGGTTGAGTTTATAGATAAGCCGTTCGCAAAGCTAGTTTCCACTGGGAGAGATTTTGACAGATTTCTTACCTCCGTCCTATTTCTGCCACCAAGGGACTTCGCTTGTAAACTTTATTTCAGTTGAAATATAACGTACAGTAGTTGAATCACATGTATCATTTTAGTATATTTATATGTAATTAAAACGAACAAGCTGACGGCCCGCCTCATGGTAAATGGTAAACGTAGCCAATATCGATAGTCTAGCGGTTTAGCACACCGCCTTCTTCCGACGGTCGTGGGTTCGATTCCTCGCACGGCACAAACATTTGTATTCATGAGTATGATTGTTTGTATCGGTCTGGGTGTTGAATGTATACCAAAAAAGTTGTATGTATTTTCAAAAAATAATGCTTAACACAAGCTCTGCTTACCGTTGGACTAGATGGCGCTGTGTCATTTGTCCAGGGTTATTTATTTATTATTTTTTATATATGTAGTATCAGGTATCTAGTATCCATAACACAAGCGTTGTGTAGCTTAAATTGTCATGTATATACATAAACAGCAAAGGTCATCACGTTATCATGATACCACTCGTGATACCACCCATGCATTGCCAACTAAGATGGCCATAGAGGCGTAACAACTTAGTCTTTTAGAATTCTTGGTCCTGTAATTTTACTTTACCTTACTCATATTACATAATTGCTGTATTTGCTTAATTTTATATTATACTAGCTGTGCACGCGGTTTCACTCGCATGAAATTTATATCCTATATATTATACACATTGTATATCTCAAGGTATATTATTGTAAAGTTTATTAAAATCCGTTCAGTAGTTTTTGCGGGAAACAGTAATCATTCATCATAGTCACAAACTTTTGTATTTTAATTGTACATAATATGTGCATATAATTATTATTTGATATACATTATTATTAAATACGGGTAATATAATTTTAATATTTTCTTTCATTCCATTCGTACGACATACCTACCACCTACCACCTTCAGTCTTTTCTTCTCTACCTGTCTAGAAGAGATTGTATAAATAAAAGACTTACTTCCTTTTGTATCTTCATACTCTGTAATCTATATTCAATGTAGCAATAAAGAGTTAAAAATAAAAAATAAACTCCCTGAAAGTGTAACCTAAAAAACCACTGAAATAATGGATGAAATCAGCCGATTACACGCCATTAGCGACTATAACCTTATCTGATCCTGTTTTATGTCTTTATTACTATTAAACATGAATATGACTGTAGTAATATTTGTTACGGATATGACATTCTGTATAAAATAAATCAAATTAATAAAAATAAAATTTCCGATTTCCACAATATTAACATCTACACTTTTTACTGTACTATTATACTTTCTTTTAAACAAGTTAACAGAAGAGAAAAGAAGGGAAACGAAAAGAAACAGGACAATTCATACAGCGCCATCTAGACCCAAGTTAAGCTAGCTAAAGCTTGTGTTATGGGTACTAGATAATTCATACACATACATAGATTTTTTTTGTAAATACATACATATTATACATATAAAACACCCAGACCGATACAAACAATCATACTCATGAATACAAATGTTTGCGCCGTGCGAGAAATCGAACCCGCGACCATCGAAAGTAAACCACACCACCGAGGCCGTCGAATAAAATATGAATTTAACAAAGAGGAAATATTATTTAATTTTACATGACCGTAGAATGTCTACAGTAAAACCGGCTGATGTTGTATGTATATATTCATATGCAAGCTCTGGGGTGAGTGGAATAATTGCAGGCATTAAAACAATCTGTGCCTAATAGCCGGCCTTCTGTAATTCCCTTTTTTTTGTAATTCCGTAACACAATTTAATTTGTTAGGGTAAACATTTGTTTAAATAAAACTTCTATTTACATTTTACAGAACATCGTAGCACAGTGGTAGATAAAAAACTGTAGTTTTGATTTGATTTGTTAATCTAATTAGGAATACTCAAGAATTACAATGTTTCTATCTACATTTTGTAGACCATGGTAGCCCAGTAGTAGTAGTAGATAAAAGTGTAGTTATAACTTGATTTGGGATAGCAGAATATTAATTAGTAACAGTGATATAATCTAGCGCATTTTATTATTTAGCCGGTAAATATTTCTCCAAAATTTTCATTAAAAAATACTGTTTACTTCTCAAAAAATAAAAAATAATTCAAAGAATGACTAAAACGTACATACAAAAAGTTTCGGTGGTAAACTCTTTTGTTAAAAAGATTACCGAAAAATGTATTATACCAAAAAAATATCTTACCTACTGCATAAAATTGTCTTCAGACAATTTTAGTATTGTTTACACAAAACGCATATACCTGTTATCACTCATTCACACAAAAACTAGTATACGGGTTCAAATGAAATTTATTTTACAGATAGATGGCATTTTATATTGGCACACAACTTACTTTTTGCGCGAATGTATCAGGGGAAGTCGCAGTATACAGTTAATAAATATTACAGCAGGCTTACCTGCGGCAAATGTCTTGTTTTACGCGGTGGCAACTTTTCCTTCGCCTCGTTCGTTCCCGATAAGCATTTCCCGTTTGGCACACCACCTACAGCTATCTCTTCCTTGCCATTCGAGTTTCTCTCCATAGCTCTCGATATATTAATATTGTGCTTTTCAAAATAACCATTCTGTATCATTTGGTCTAAGGAGACTTCTAACTCTCTTACAGGAACCACTCTCTTTCCACAAATCGGATCGTCAACAATCATTTTTCGGTTACAACCCGAAACTTCAGAGAATTTAACATTCTTTTTGGTCTCGTCAGTCTTCTTAGGACGAGGCTTTCTTTCCGGTGCTTCTGTGGTCCAATATCTAGTGTTTTTATCGCTCAAACGAAGTGGTTTACACACGGCTACGTTTTTGGGTATAGTGTTCTCAGTTGCTGCATTAGACGGCTTCGATTTTCGTTCATAAGATACTTCTTTTGGTCTTTCCGTTCTTTTTCTATACGGTTCATAAGACTCTCGCGGTCTCCGTCTATCGTCGATTCGGAAGTCATAATAGTCCTTTTTATATCTCCGTCCATTTCTATCGTCATAATTGTAGTAATTTCTAGGCAACGAATTGTATTTAACATCGTATGACGTCGGCAAATTGAGGTACTCAGGCCTTATTGGTCTAAATAAAGATAAACGACCTTGCGCCTCATCGAAATCTGAATAGATATCTTCGTATACATAACCATTTTTTCTTCTAGGACGTTCGTAGCGTTCTGATCTATTTCCATATCTTCTAATTTCTCTATCGTGCCAAGAGTCGTGTCGTCTTCTAGTATCGTATTGGTCGAATTCTGGACGCTTATCGTAGAGTAATCTCTCTCGGGAGCCGGCCATTCTTTCCTTATTAGATTTTTCCCGCCTGCAAAAGGAGAGATCGCATATTAATGAAGGGCTTTGTTGAAACTGTGGGTTTGAGAGATTTCTAAACGGGGAGCGGTGGGAATGAGGTTTGCAAGTTTTATGAGTACGGACAAAGGCGACGCGAAAGATAAGTCCGGTCCGGTATTTCATTCAGTTCAATGGATAAATTGCTGAAATTTATTTGATGTGAAACAGGGGTATGGCCAGACGTAAATGTCTGCCTCAATTGAATTTAAAAGCAAAATCAGATAAATGTTTATTTATTTTAAATCAATAGTACAAGACGGTTATAATTCTTATTTTTGTTTCACTTATTCTATAAATTCAATAACCCTACGTTGAAAACACATTTATATTTCTAGGTAAGTTTTGGCGTAAAATTCCGATATAATACCTGTAAGGGAACAAAAAATCTGTTGCAAGTATTATTATGTAAAATATTATAATGAAAATTATTTTGGCAGTGTCGTGCTCTAATATTTACTACAACTGACTTACTCCCAAGAGGTCGTTGGTTCAAATTTTGCTGATACCAAAACAATTTAATATTTCGAACTGACTCTTCGGTGAAGGTAATATTAATAACAAACCAAAGGTTAATCAGACAGACGGCGGTAAGCTTATGTACTGGAATAGTGTCTTCAAATAATATATGTACATTGTACATACTGGCTACCCGCCCGAGCTTCGTATAGGTGTATTACATGTATTATACATACAACCCTTCCTATTAAATCACTCCATCTATTGCTAAAACTGCATTAAAATCCGTTGCATATATTAAGCGATCAAAGCGAAAAGACAGCGGGAGATATTTCATTTTGTACTAAACTAGCTACTCGCCCCGGCTTCACCTGGGTGTACATGTATCATACATATAAACCTTCCTCCAGAATCACTCTATCTATTAAAAAAATCGCTTCAAAATCGGATGCGTAGATTTTAAGATAAGCGAACAGACAGCGACCGCCACTTTGTTTTATACTATGTAATGATAGTTCTAAATTTTGAAGTTTAGGATATACTGATGGACATACAAACGTAATTATCGCAACTGTTTCACTAAGATATGAATTCATAGCCAAATTGAAATGATCTATCACAGTCAGACAATGCAATTACATCTATATTAGTCACTAGATCTGAAGCACATATTCAAGACATATTCCGAGAGAGTAATGCATGAATTTACATGTAATATTAAATTAAATGCAAATGCATTGGTACACGCTTGTGAGATATGGTTACATAATAACATCATTACATAGTATAAAATAAAGTCATTGTCTGTTCGTCCCTATGTATGCGTAAATCTTAAAAACTACTCAATGGATTTTGAAGCGGTTTTTTTAATAGACAGAGTGATTCAATAGGAAGGTTTATATGTATTATTATACATATAAACCTTCCTCTTAAATCACTCCTCCTCATCAATCACTCATGTATACCCGTGCAAAGCCGGGTGGGTAGCTAGTTACATAGTATAAAATAAAAATGCGTAAATCTTAAAAACTACTCAATGGATTTTGAAGCGGTTTTTTTAATAGATAGAGTGATTCACTCCTCCTCATCAATCACTCATGTATACCCGTGCAAAGCCGGGTGGGTAGCTAGTTACATAGTATAAAATAAAGTCGCTGTCTGTTCGTCCCTATGTATGCGTAAATCTTAAAAACTACTCAATGGATTTTGAAGCGGTTTTTTTAATAGATAGAGTGATTCACTCCTCCTCATCAATCACTCATGTATACCCGTGCAAAGCCGGGTGGGTAGCTAGTTACATAGTATAAAATAATGTCGCTGTCGCTGTCTGTCCTTATGTATGCTTAAATCTTTAAAACTACGCAACGATTTTTTAATAGATAGAGTGATTATAGGAGAAACTTTATATATATATAAAACATGTACACACAGGCGAAGCCGGGGCGAGTGGCTAGTTAGCTTATATAATAATATAATATCTTATTAATATTATAAACAAGAATGTTTGTGAGTATGGATGATTGTTTGTTACTCTTTAACGCAAAAACTACTAAACGGATTTTGATGAAACGGTACAGTAATATAGCTTATACATCAGAATAACATATAGGCTATAAATTTCACGCGGGTGAAATCTCAGGCACAGCTAGTATATAATATATCCCTGGATAATTCACACAGCGCCATCTAGTCGCAAGCTAAGCAGAGCTTGTGTTGTAAGTATGTATATACAATATAAAGAATCTATGTATTTTTATCAGTTGTCTAGTGTCCATAAGACAAGGTTTGTTTAGCTTGGGACTAGAGGGCGCTGTGTGAATTGTCCTGAAATATTATTATTACGTTTGAACAGTTCTAGTAGTAAATTTGCGAATACAATCTTTTTTTCTTTTATCCTTACTCCTTACTAATATTATAAATGCGTAAATAACTCTGTCTATCTGTCTGTCTGTCTTACATTCACGCCGAAACCACTGAACCGATTTAAATGAAATTTGGTACACAGATAGTCTAAACCCGTACAAAGGACTTAGGCTAATTTTTAATGTGACAAAAGGGTTGCTAGGGGTTGAAAGGGGAGACGAAAGAGTATGAGGAATTATCGTCATTTTAAGCGGATAAAGTCGTGGCCGTAGCTAGTTCTTTATAAATTTGCTCGGTGGCATCACAAGCCGCTGTGTGACGTCACATAAAACAAGCTAAAGCGACAAATAGTCGAGTGATTTGATGAGCTAAAAATAAAGTTCGTATCCAGAAACGAGGTTAAAGTAGTGCAGGGAACTTGAGAGATTTATCGATATCGATATGAATGAATAATAAGTTTTAACTTCGCCTGACAGGTGATTATTTTGAACATATAATTAGAGGTTTTATAAAATAAACAAATTTGTATTAAAGTAAGATAGAAAGAGAAAAATAAAGTCTTTCAATTCAGATATAATTAATAACTTTATGCACTCATAAAAGAAAAATTAAATTAAAACGGTTGTTTTGAGTTCACACATTCAATACGTTTATTTTTTAAATAAACTTAATAAGAAACACTCTTGAGCTGATATCTTTTGATACAAGATCTTAAATTCAAAAATTATTTGATTGAAAATTGGATCTAGAACATTGTACGAGAAACTTGCCTTTTGTTTTTTTGTTAAACTACATTTTAGAATTTTATACGAATCCAACTACAAAATATCACAAATGCATAAGAAAAAAAAATTACTAGATCAATATAACAGATCAGTCACAGTGATAAGCATGAACAAGCAGCAGCTGTTTACGAGTATGACGAATTCAATGCACTAAGGCCTCTTACAGACAGTTACGTAAGTACCGTATTAATGATTTATTTGTTTACTGCCACTTCATTCCCGTCATATTTCCCAGTTTCTTCTATACTTTTTATTGCAGCTCCGCTCATATTTGTCGTAGTCATATTATATATGTAGCCTATAGCGTTCTTTGATAAATGATTTCTTATGTTATCCTTGATAAATGATAAACCAAAACCTTGTTAAATCGGTTCAGTAGATCCAGAGATTACCCCAACTCACAATGTTACCCCTTCATAATATTATTTGTTGTACTCGTGGTGTTATCCGCACGAAATTTATAGCCTATGTGTTACTCTGATGTATTAGTATTGTTTAACGGATCCAAAAAAATAAAACCACTTTCTAATCCACTAGTTTTTTTTACGGCCCATCTGATGGTAAATGGTTACCGTAGCCTATGGACGCCTGAAGCACCAGGGGTGTCACGCGCGATGCCGACCTTTAAGAAACCTTAATATACCCTTCTTGAAAAACCACATGCTGTAGTGTCGTGAGAAAACCTCGGCAGGAAGTTTCACAACCTAAGTGTACGCGGGAGGAGAGAGATTAGTGTTTAATATTAAGTAATTTATAAAATAAAATGAATTCTTAATACGCCATGTTATGGTATCAGACTTTTGTAGATAATAATTTTCAAATTTTGAATTTCAAATCATTGTGTAAATAAACTATAAAGGAGGTTTTATATTCATACTTAATCAGGTATATTACTATAAAGTTTCTTTAAAATCGATTCAGTAGTTTTTACGTGAAAGAGTAACAAACATCTATCCACACTCACAAACTTTCACGTTTATGTTATTAATAAGATTTTTTTTAATAATAATAATATTAATTAATAATAATTAACTATTAGAACCGGCCAGCGATGCTGTGGCTAAGGTTCTTGAATAAAATAATATTGCGACTATAATTATAAGTATAGTAAGCTATCTTCTCTTTCAAATTGGATCAAATTGCACACAATGAGCAAACCAAATTTGTAATTTAGGAGCACATCGCAGACAAACACAAAAACAGATACGTGATTTTTTATTTAAAGATTATTTATATTCTCTGCACAAGAACATCATGTAACAGGTATGTAAGAATAATTGGTTCGGAACAGAGATGTGTTTTAAATAACAATCGATATTATTATTTGACAACACTACGCGAGCCTCGGGGTGGCGCACTGCGGCGGTGGCACGAAATGTTCATAGATAAATCACATTCATCTCGTTTAGTCTTACACCATTCTTATATTCCATTCATATTAAACACTAGCTGTCCCCGCGGTTTCACTCGGTTTAAATTTATAGCCTATATGTTATTCTGATGTATAAGTTTCTTAATCTTTATATATATAATATAAAAATTACGTGTCACGTTGTTTGTTCGCAATGGACTCCTAAACTAATGAACCGATTGTAAATTTGATTTGCACATTGTGTGCAGTTTGATCCAACTTGAAAGATAGGATAGATTATATCTCAATTTATAATCGCAATATTATTTTATTGCAATTGGCCACAGCAACGCGTGCCCGGGCCTGCTAGTAGTATTATTTTAATTTCTGTTAGTATATTATTTGTCAAATGTGTAAATGTATTTTTTTTATATCAATAGTGGTTGTCAATAAATGTTTTTCTTCTTCTTCTACTTCTTCTATTACTATAA